ATCGACCCACTGGGAAGTGGGCCCAGCCCTGGGGCATGCTGAGGTCTAGCTCTCACCTCACGGCTGGCAGGAGGGTTGAGGGGACGGTGCCGAGTGTGGGGCTCCTTCCCGTGCTTGTACAGTCGCTGAACTGATCTCAGTTTTCCTGAGAACTGTGCCTGTCGATGGGAGAGATTTTCGACTGAAAGGTGCGCTCGCTATCTGCACTGTACTTTCTCTCTTCTCCCCGTTCCTGCAAACCGGAGGAGGCCGCGGAAGCCTGGACCGCCGCCGCCTCTCGCTCGCTCCCAGGCGCACACCGAGTCATCAGTGTCCCAGCTCCACGTGTGCGGCGTGCAGGGCTTTGTGGGGGTGGCGGGGAGACAAAGTGAATATAACTTAAAGTGGAAGTATACTTTTTATAACTTTTCTTTTTAAAACTTTGTGAAATTCTTTCAGATACATATTTTAGTGTTGAGGCCGAATAGCATTAGCCAGCAAAAAAAAGTATTGTGTACAATTCTACTTGGGCCAATCACAAAATAATGTATTTTATGTTACAATAAAGCCTTCCTCTGAAGGGGCAATATTGAGTCCTGTTTCATTTTTCCAATCAGATGGCGAGGGAGGGGGGTCAGGGAGGGGAACGTTGGCGATCATCAGTGTGGCTCTGCAAGGAGAACTGTTTGGGAGTTGGCTCCTCTGAGAGCGGTCACCAGGTTTGATGGCGGATGGGGCATTTATTTTTATTTTATTTTTTTCTTTAATCCTCACCTGAGGGTATTTTTCCATTGATTTTAGCGAGAGTAGAAGAGAGAGGGAAAGACAGAGAGAAACATTGATGTGAGAGAAACACATCGATTAGTTGCCGCCTGCACGCACTCTGACCAGGGCCCCGGGCTGGGGAGGAGCCTGCAACAGAGGTACCTGCCCTTGACCGGAATCGAACCTGGGACCCTTCGGTCTGCAGGCTGACGCTCTATCCACGGAGCCAAACTGGCCAGCGCAGATGGGGGCATTTCTTACCTCCCTGCTCACATGATGTTTTGACACTTACACCTGTGTCCCCTGAAAGGACTGTTCTTGCACAGAGAAGGAGGACCCTGTCGTTTAGTGCTTTGGGATATTCAGCTCTTAACAAGCAGGTGCCACTTGGCTAAGAGCCACCAGTGTTCCTGAAGGCTGTGTTTCAAGCTCTCATCCCTTCTGTGGGGCGGAGATCCATCATCCGGATGCGGCCCGAGTCAGCTGCTGTGTGTAAGTTCTCTTAATAAACTCCTCGTTTCGTTCTTTGTCATCCTCTCCTTTCGGTCTCAGCCCTGTCCTCCTTGGGAAGTCAGTTGCGGTACACCCCAGGGAATTTTCCAACACAAAGGACACTCTCAAGAAAATAAAAAGACAACCCGCAGGAGAAAATAAAAGACATTTCTGCAAAGAAGATATACACATGGCCACTATGCTCAACATCGTTAGTCATCAGGAAAATTAAAATAGACTCAAGTCACTCCATACCCCACTAGAATGGCTAGATCAAAAGGCCAGGTAATAAATTAACAAAGATGTAGAGAAATCGGAAAACTCACGTACTGCTGGTGGGGATGTAAAAGGATGCAGGCACTTTGGAAGCCAGTTTAGCCATTCCTTAAACAGGTAAAAAAGAGTTACTATACAACCCAGCTATTCTTGACACCAGGAAAATTACATGTCCACAGGAAAACGTATATATATGTTCATTCTCCATAATAGTCAAAGAGCGGAAATGAACCAAATGTCTATCAATTGATGAATGAGTAAACCAATGTGATGGTGTTTACACAGCACATTTGGGTGGTGGTACCTCCAATGGAATATGATTTGGCAATAAATAGAACTAGTGGTGCACAGTAACCCAGAGAAGAACCTTGTAAACATGCTAAGTGAAGGAAGCCAGGTGCAAAAGACCATGTGTTGATTCCATTTATGTGAACTGTCCAGAATAGGCGAATCTATACAGAAAGTAGGTTTGTGTTTGCTTAGGGCTGTGGGGGAGGAAGCTGGGAAGGGATCGAGGGGTATAGCTAAAGGGTACAGGGTTACTCTTGAGGTTACGAAAATAGTATAAAATTGACTATTGGTGTCACACGTATATGTGAATATACTGAAAACCATTGACTTGTACACGTTAAATGGGTGATTTGTGTGAATTATATATAATAACGCTGTTGTGTCTTAAAAAGCAAGCACAATATCTCAGCAAGAAATAAAGGAGTGAAAGTGGGGGGCGGGACATGTGAGAGCAGACCTGTGCAAAGGAGCTCAGCTGTGAAACGCAGGGAGAGATGCTGCGAGACATAGAGCGAGGGAGGGGCCGAGGGAGGGGTGTTAGTGTCTAAGAGCCTGGGTCCAGAGCGCAGGCGGAGGGAGAGAGGGATTGACCGTGGGCCGCAGAAGAGCCTCACACAACTTCCCAACCTCCACAGCAGGAGAGTCCGAGCCTGAGGTCGCTGGGTGCCTTGCTCCAAGTTGCAAAACTACCCTGTGTCATATGGAAGTTTGTGTTTCCTTGGGATAAAGCCAGTAAGCTAACACAGGTCGTGAGCCCAAATCGGATGAAGTACGTGTGACAAGTGGCGCCGTCAGCTTCTCTGGCTTGAGGACTAGTTACCACTTGCCTTGAGAACACCGTGTGATGGGCTCTCTCTGCTTGGCTGTAAATGGGGTGAGATGCGTTTCTGTCTTTGCAATCTCTTAGCCGGTGGCCTGGGATGCGCGTCGCCTTCTAACTTAATGTTTCTCCAATAACAAAAGTGTCTTTCTTTCTCTACTGTCTTGGTGGGGAGGCTTTCTGGGTTGGGAGAAAACGTTGGTTTTTTTACCAGTTGTCAAGCTTGAATCTGCCCCACCCCCAGCCGACGCTGCTTCCTGGCGCTCTTTCCCACACAGTCAACCTTCTCTTCCTTCACCTGCACAAATTTGAGGACCATCCTGTTCTAGCCCTCGCTTCCCATGTCTGCCAGCCTGGGCCAGCACCCAGCATGCCCCCCTTAGGCAACCTGCTCCTTTAAGAGCACCCCCCCCCCATCCCAGCTCCTCCCTCAGGCCCAGTAACCGGATTTCCCTGTTTGTGAGGCCCAGCGCTTTAAAGCTTTAAAGCCAGGGCCCCTTCTTACTCAGCTGTATGCTGAGCCGGGGGTGCCCAGGGGGGCCTGGATGCTGGGAGTAGGCACAAGTGGGCTGTGACAGGTACATGTGGGACACGAACCACTGCCCAGGGCTCGGGAGGGACACGGAGCTGGGACAGGGTGGGTCCTGGGAGGAAGCAGAGCCGCTCCGCAAGACCTGTCATTCGTCAAGCAGCCGCTGGGCGCTGGGCACCGTGCCAAGCCCTTTCTGCACCTTCTGAGGCGGGGATTGTGCTCCCATTTGACAGACAAGGGGACGGAGCTCAGAGCAGCCACCTGAATTACCTGGGGCCACACAGGTAGCCAGTGGCAGAGCCAGGACCCGACCTCAGGTCAGTGCGACGCGAAAGCCTGATGCTCTCTGCCTCACTGCCCAACGGGGGTCCTGGCTTCTCCCTACACTTGCTCTGTCCTGGGTTCTCCTGCGTGAGGTAGAACGGGGGTACAGAATGGGTGATCCCCTGCAGCTGCAGGACCAGCACTCCAGGCCCTTCCTCCTCCAGGAGCTGCCTGGAGATGCTGCTGCTCCTGCTGCTGCTGTTCCCGCTGCTGCTGCTGCCGCCACTGGC